ATGTGTGTGTGTGTGTGTGTGTGTGTGTGTGTGTGTGTGTGTGTGTGTGTGTGTGTGTGCGTGTTTAAGATTTTAAATTTACCGTAACATTGTCTTTGGTCCGCTACTGATCAGACATATGTGAGGCAGCGTGGTGGAATCAGGCTCTCGTCAATTTTTAGCCCTATTGAGATATTAATATAATCTTAAATCTTGTTCATTTGTCTTGCTTTCAATGAAAAAAATTACTCATCCATCTTCAATAGAAGTAGGGGTATTTTGGATTGAAGGGCGTGGGGGTCACCTGATTTAAGAAGTAAAATTAGCAAAGCTAGGTAAATTTCAAAGCTGAAGAGTACATGGAAACTGTAAATTTATATTCTGTGCCTTTAATTAACGTTTTCGGTGAAATCCTCCAAGGAATGTGTTTGTAAATGGACATAAAAGGTGTTGTGCCAAAAAAACAAAATTTGAAAAAAATTGCGAAGCACGAAGAAAACTGCTGTTTTCTTCGATTTCAGTATTTTGACGAGCGTCTGATTCCACCACGCTGCCTCATATATGATTTCACCACGTCTGTAAACCTGTCCCCGTGGTTTTATGCACCCCGCATAATTTAGCAAAATTTGATGATTTTTTCGCATAATTTCTGATTATTTCCCTTTATCATCTCTCTTCTCTTGCTCTTTCTAGCTCCCAGTGGAGCACAGGCCATCAACAGCATTACTCCAGCGAAGCCTGTCCATTCTTCGTTAAAAATTAACAGAATCGTATAATTTCACATTTTTTAGCTCAGTTTGCATAATTTCTGATTTTATTTTTGTGTGTGCATAAAACGACGGAGACAGGTGAAGAGTTCAGACATTTTGCCACCTCAGAAGTACAAAAGTTCTATCTGACAGTTTTGGCTGTTTTGAGTTACTAAGACCATGAGGTCGGAAACAATATGTTCTATCTGCTCCATCAAAGTCGAAGGATTATCTGGAGTCGTTGTCACGATATTCAAAGAATTGCAGTTTAAAAAAAAGTTTGACATGATGTGAAACTCAATATCTTTGACGTCAGATTTCTCAAAACTAGGTACATGTACTGCGCAGACAGAGCTGTGTAATTCCTAGGTAGTGATTTCTTCATGAACAGTCTCATGGACATCGGGTCTTGTCTGTGATGTCAGCGGTACGTCATTAGCTCAGTAAAACAGATAGTCTACCCTCGCGAGTTTCAGTTTGTGACTAGATCTAATACTAAGACAGCATTTGTATCCCGCCTTTCCCCACATCCTGGGCCCACGGCGTACATAGGAGATGAAAAACGCATTCATACTAACACCATACAAATTCATCAAGCGCACACTTTTTGACAGCAATATTCTTTCAGACCATAAAAAATGCTTCCATTGATTAAAATATTTCTGAAATAGATGTGTTTTGAGTCCCCTTTTGAAGGTACCAAGCTTTATTTCGCGTCTCAATCTAGATCTATTCCCGTTTGTCACGTGGACTCCCCAGTCGGTGTCACGCCGGACTACGGAGCAGATGACCCTGGTTCGAATCCCAGACCAGGTACGTGTTCTTGAACTAGGGTAGTTTTGTGGAGTTTTCAAAAACTCCCTCTAGCTCATTAGGCTCAGTCCTATCCTATCGGAAACGGGCATTAAATTCGGAGGTCCTGTCTCAAAAATAGTATACCAGCGTTGACAGGGACGTTAGACTCCTACACTTTGCTTTTTGAGTGATCCAAGTCAGCAAAACAGCGAGGTGAAAGGAGGAGTCGGACAGATATGAAAAAAGGGAAGGGAGCAGGGAATTGGGGATTTTTGTGGTTGTTTTTTTTTTATATTTTTTTTTT